CTCTTCCGGCTTCTTGCTTTCTAGTCAACTTTGATCTTCAGAAATGTAAATGCAATATCAATCGTTATCTTCTGTCTTCTTAATTCCAGTTCTTTTATTGTCCTCTCTCATTAATAGTAGTTTTTCTCATATTCTCTAACACTCAGTAACCCCTTGCGTCCTAGTGGCTTTATTGCCTTTGATCTTCAGAAATTTAAATGCAATGTCAATAATTATCTTCTCTCTTCTTAATTCCAGTTCTTTTATTGTCCTCTCTCATTAATAGTGGTTTTTCTTTTATTCTCTAACACTCAGTAACCCCTTGCGTCCTAGTGGCTTTATTGCCTTTGATCTTCAGAAATTTAAGTACAAAGTCAATCGTTATCTTCTCTCTTCTTAATAGAAGTTCTTTTATTGTCCTCTCTCATTAATAGTAGTTTTTCTCATATTCTTTTACACGGAGTAACCTCTTGTGTCATTGTGGCTTCATTGCCCTTCTTGAAGTGAATAATGCAGCAAGATCAGCAATTCTTTGACCCTTGAAATGCATTTTCAGGCTTTCCACAAACATATTATTCGTCTTGGCATGGCATCTTGACTTCAGTCACTTTTCTACCGCCATAATGTTGTTAACCTCAGCCTTTTCTATAAATATTTTCATTGTTCTGATGAGCTTTCTTTTTGGTACATTGACTTCATCAATTTTTCTCGTCCAAATTCTGTTTTACATATTTACACATATACAATTCGTCTATCCTTAGAACATATGGTCTGGTGCCCCTGTTATATATTTAAAAATCTTTGATAAAATCCAAAGAAGAATCGACAATGTCATGGGCCCTGACCTGACATGTCGTCTTCTGTCGGTTTCTCACTGGTGTAAAAAGTAGCTTCTCTGTGCCTTTTCTATAAATACTTTCATGGTATTTGCTCAGGTGAACTCTCCTCTATGTTCCCTAAATACCCAAAACCCGGTTGTACAAGTTGTCTTTTATCTACAGATAATAGGATACATTAGTATTTTCAGACGCCCTCATAATTCACAGTCTTGGCTTCACTCCAGTTTGATTGTCGACACATGAATAATATACACTTTTAAAACAAAGTTGATGTGTTTGCGATATTTAACTCCGTTCTTTGTTGTTCTATTTGGTGCTTTTTTCCCTTTGCACTCTGATTAACGAAACGTTAACATCGTAGCTGACGGCCGATGGAAATTCTGAATATGTCATTGAAAAGTGATTTATTTATATTTTGTCCCTAAGAAAAAAAAAATGTTTAAAAAATAATCCTAAGTGAAAAAAATATAGAACGTAAAATATATTAACGTCACGTCGATTGATAAATAAACGATACTGTTTTTATTTACATAAAATTTATGCGATTTCTACAGATTGTAGGCGAATGCCGTAACAAAATCAGAATTTATTTAATCTAAAAAAAATTCTAGATAATATTAATACCGTTTTTTTTTTTCTTACTGGTCCAATATAAACTCCAAGATTGACTCAAGTTAAATGTTTACTGAGTGAGAATTTTGGAAGGATGGCTGAAGTGATAAGACATAAACTCACGCAGACCACGATGGGTAAATTTTATCTACTGCTTGGCATTCACACCAGAAGCTCTAATACGAACATTTCAGGTTATTTTGGCGTCAATCTGTGGATACTGCATAGGATTTGGAAAGATTTGAATGAATCTAATGTTCTTTACGAAGGTGTTTGGAGTTTTCACCAGTAATTGCGACGTTGTTTTCTTCTTCTCCTCTTGCCTTCAATCTCCCTACCCATGAGTATCAAATTTTCCAAGGACTCCATTTCTCATTACGTGCCCTAGAAATTTCAATTCTCTCTTCTTAATATTAAGAATGTCCTTTTTGTTTCCATTTTCTCTAAAACATTGCTCACATGTTCGGTCCATGTTTTCCTCAGTATACTTCTGTATTTATCTTCTTGAGCCTTGAGGAATTGGTGAGGCTATTTATTTCCTTCTCCTGGATTGAGTCCGTCCTGTTATTTACTCATAGCTGGGTGGAAGATTAACTGTATTCATATATTTCACAGGGGTATTTGCACGTAAATGAATTCGAACTCGGATTACTGAATCTACGCCACTATCCATTCGTTCACCGTGCCTTCAATTATACGTAAATAGTTATAAAAACCGGTACATTACAGACGGGTATCCATCTCAAAGAAATATTTGATGAAGTTAAAGTCAAATAAGCAAAAGTCCTTGAAGGTAGTAAACGTAAAATAATATAGAAAAATGGAAAAAATATAAAAGATAAAAATATATAAGGAGGTTGCAAAGTGTTATACTTTAAACTCACCCTTTATATAGCTGTAACCGAAAAAAATAAAGTTATCTGTTTATCAAATGATCAGACGAATGTAATTTATTAAGATAACAGTTTGATATTCGAATTTTAATGTAATGTTTCCTTCCTGTTTTTTTTTATCTGCATCATTTCATGGCATCACAGGATTTTTGTTGTCGCTTTTTGTTTTATATCATAGCAGTTTTCAATTTCGTTAACGAAGTTTTAATTGGATATATTTGCCTGAGTACAGAATTTTTTGTACTTAGGTATCTGTACCCAATGAATGGAATCACCTGCAATGACATTTTATTACCACAACATCTCTTTGTCTGGCACAAGGTTTTTAATCACCCACAATATTGTTTCAAAGCGATGACCCATCTTAGTACTGACCTATGTCAACGTTGTATTAACTTAGTCTAGCATATACCTTCCCAAACTTATGATATCCTTACCACTTTTAATAAAAGAAATATATTGACGCTAACTCACAGCGCTCCCGTTTCTTAAAAGAATGTTCCGATATAATAAACAATATTCGATTTTTGCTACGGAAGGCCAAGTACGTAAAAATCACCTGTTTCATAACATTTCTTTCTTTTAAGCAAATGGCATTACCCAGACAATTTTTCTTATTTTCGGAATGCTCGTCATCTGATATGAAGTGAAGAGAATATATCGAATCAATCGCTTGCTTTTCTTCAAGGAAAGTTGGTTCACTGTGTCGTGCCAGGATTTTTTTTCTCGACAGAATCCATTATGCATATTTATAAATCTAAATATTTCTCTGTACATGCTGCCATATCTGATCTGATGCTCCTGTCATTATATATATATATATATATATATATATATATATATATATATATAATGACAGGATACCCAAGATCCTAATGTACATTCAGTTAGATCAGGGCTACAGGAATGTAGGACGCCCATGCCTAAGATACAAAGAGAAGCTGCAATGTAACTTGTCAGCTGTCAATATGCCACATAACACCATTGAGCGCGTAGCCTTGGAGCGGATTGAATGGAGGTCAATGTGTTTTAGTGGACTCAGCAGTTTCAATCTGCTTGTCTGAATCATCTTCAAGAAGCGAGAGCAAGAGCAAAATGTAAAAGGTCAGTCAATCTAAGTGATATCATCTCCCAATCCTCACTCTTGCTCCATATGTGGCCTCCTTTGTAAATCACTTGCGGGTGTTAAGTGCCACTTAAGATTATCGCAGAAAATTTCATAACTAAATCAATTAAGCTGTCAGATCCTGATACGTCGAAACCGACGGGAAAGTCCATTATTATTACATATAAACATATATATATATATATATATATATATATATATATATATATATATATATATGTGTGTTTGTGTGTGTATGTGTGTGTATGTATGTATGTATGTGTGTGTGTGTGTGAATGTGTGTGCATAATACTAATAAATAGAAAACAATAATAGTTGTAGTATGTGCGCTTGGAATGATTAAAAAGAAACAAAACAATACATTGAAAACATCCTTGGAAATCTCATCTTATGATCAATACCAAAATTGTCTGGATAAGATTCCCTTTGTTCTTTTAACGCTAGTGATGTAATGAAAGTTTAAACAAAACAAATCATCAAATGTGGCTATCTGCCTCAACTCTTAACAGAGACTTGGGAGATAATGTTACCATACTAGAAATCACAATAATATGTGGCACATGGGAACATCAAAATCCCTGTTGAAACTCTTGGATTGGTTGGAAAAGATCCCAGTAAACTCATTGAAGTGATTCCAGGGAGACCATGCCTTAAAAAATACAACAAATTGTTCTCACGAGTACAGGTCACACCTTACAAAGGGCTTTATCTATGTAAAACATATGTGTGTTGTTATTCTCACTTTATTTTTTAATTGGTCAGTGGCAAATGTCATAATGCCATTTCTGAACTCAGGTCTTTTTGCGGGACCCGGAAAGAAATATGTACACACCAGAAATCAAAGGAGGAGGAGGGGAATGTGAAAGAAGAAGAAGAAGAAGAAGAAGAAGAAGAAGAAGAAGAAGAAGAAGAAGAAGAAGAAGACGAAGAGTTGTTGTTGTTGTTATCATTATTATTATTATTAATATTATCGAAATAGTTAAAATTTCCAAGTGAGGAGAGTTTTGGTAACAGTGGCCAATACGAGAGTGATACGGATGGATTTTGATTGGATTGCGCCATTATTTAAACGAGACCTATTTGGGTTCAATGCAATAGAACTTTAATAAATTTAATTTAATTTAATTTAATTTAATAGCCCCCATCCACATGTATAGAAAACTTTAAAATAATGGAAGCATTATTAATAAACAAGAAAAAGTCGACACTCAATAATATCGACTATGAACACGGCCGCTATGTGCTGAGAGTGTTTGGTAAATAAAACTTTATTTAAATCTCGATACATATTTAAAAAAAACTCTATGCATTCAGTATTTGTTCAAATTTTGATAAATCGATATAATTAAGTATGAAGGCTATTTAATTTTGTTTGCCTTGCAGATGTAATCAGATATTCACATTTTAAAGGGTGACAATTTTTTGTGCACACCCTGTATAAGTAATATTTAAAAAGGTTAGGGTTATATATATTTACATCGTTGCGCATGTGTAAAAATAAAATAAAATACGAAGCAAAAACTCCTGGAAGTTGTTAAACAAGGCTGGGACTCAGCTGCCACAAGATATTTGCACGTAGAAAATACCATCCATATCGTGCTTTTTGTGGAAGAAAGAAAAACAGACTGAAAGATATTCATTCTTAAAGCAAAGACCTAAATAGGGTTCAGTTATTTCTCAATTGGGAATCTGAATGTCCTCCGGTACAAGCCAAACGCTCACGAAAGTGTCGAAAGAGAAAATTGTACTGTTGGGTAGCTTTTATTCTTAGCCCAGGGTCTCTCCGTTCATTGGGATGCGAGAATGGTTAAATCTGCGTGGTGGGAATCGTTCGACATAATTGCGACGTATAAAAAGACCAGATTGAAGCAGTCAAAAGAGTTTTCAAAGAATCGGGATGCGGAAAAAAAGATAAGATTGTGCGCAATGTTTTGTAATGAATGAAATTGGCCCGACTGAATGGTAAGGAGAAGGACAAGTTCGGATTTCAATTGATTGGGCAACTAATCGATAAAGAAATCGCTAAGAAAGCGAGCAAATGTAATTAGTAGATGTAGACGAAAGAGGAAGAGATAAAAAGTTGGGAAAATGATGGTAGAGCCATAGGAAGACATCCTGATTGATACATTGGAAAATATTCTTATCGATGGAAACTGCATACACACACACACACACGTATATATATATATATATATATATATATATATAAAATATAGTTTTCAGGCATGCTATATTTATTGCTTAAAGTGCTCAATATCAGGATAGAACGTATGTAAAGAAAAAGGGTATATTGAAGTCAACACCCAGATGCGATAGTTTGTTTCATGCATAAACGCAATCGTATATATATATATATATATATATATATATATATATATATATATATATATATATATATATAGAGAGAGAGAGAGAGAGAGAGAGAGATGACCATCCAATTATCTCTGGGTTCAATTCCCAAAATATTTTTGAAAGTCTGGTGTTTCAGTTTAGGCTTATAAAATGAATGCCCATGGGTATAAAGTCTCTGTTTCCATTCTCCAACGGAAATCCCAATGTAAACATTATAATTGTTTCATATTTTCTTTGGGGGAAATGATCGTTTGATATATAAACCTAGTAGATCTACATTTGTCCTCTACTTGACAATTTTCTTTAGATCTAAAGGAGGGATTTGTTTAGTTTTATTATGTTTTTTTTTATCCCTGTATGTATAGTGCTATATTAAGATGGCCATTAAAATAAACGTACCTATAACTATAAAAAAATATCTATACATATACAAATAGGTAGATATAACTAATCAGAGCTATTGAAAAGTTGTTCATATAAAAAAATTTATATTTGCTCGACAGAAGATAAGCAAACAGAAGAAAATGAAAAAAGAAAACGACGAGCGTATTTATTTTTTCTCCATCTGACAATCAATACATTTCTCTTTTTAAATAAGTTGAGGTTGTTTAAGTGTTTGCTAATCTTTCTACAAGGCATAAATTACATCTATCTTTCCCATTGTAAGATTTGACTTTTGCTACAATATTCCACGTAATTAAGTTTGCATTACCACCATTATTTAATTACCAGCAATGTTTGGAGAGAGTCATAATATTCGTGTATCTTACATTGCCTAAAATCATTCGATGATAATAAAAAAGAAATTCCCAAGGATTTTCAGTGGACCCAACGTAACATTTGTCATCGTTAACGGGATGCATGCTAGCTCAGTATACAATATTATCAGTCATACATTGGCTGTTTAAAGGACAGATCGTAATTTTTAGGGAGCTGCATTTATATATAAAATGGTTAATGTTGTTTTTTTTTGTTAGAAATATACATATTTAGTATTATCTTGTGATGTTGGGATATTTATTTATCGATGTTTTAATGCAGCAGTAGCTGATCTTTAAATTATTTTTTTAAAAATATTTTTAGTATTGATTAGCGATTAAAGTGTTTACGAATTAAATTTAGGAAAATTATTTGGACATTACGATTGTAAAGAGAAAATGTGACAGAAAGAGAAAAAAAGAAATGTGAAAGAAAGAGAGAAGAGGAAATAGGAAAAAAAGAAAACTGGATATGGGAAAGAAAGATAAAAGAGGAAATGGGAAAGAGAGAAGAGGAAATGTGAAAAAAGAGAGAAGAAGAAATGTGAAACAAGAGAGAAGAGGAAATGTGAAAGAAAGAGGAAAGAGGAAATGGGAAACAAAGATAAAGGAGGAAATGTGAAAGAAAAAGTAAAGAGAAAATGTGAAAAAAGAGGGAAGTTGAAATGTGAAGGGAAGAGAGAAGAGGAAATGAGAAAGAAGAGAGTAGAGGAAATGTGAAAGAAAAAGAAAAGAGGAAATGTGAAAGAAAGAGAGAAGGGGAAATGTGAAAGAAAGAGAGAAGGGGAAATGGGAAAGAAAGAGAAAAGATGAAATGGGAAAGAAAGATAAAAGAGGAAATGGGAAAGAAAGAGATTAGAGAAAATGGTGGAGAAAGAGAAAAGAGGAAATTTGGAAGAAAGAGAGAAGATGAAATGTTAAGGAAAGAGAGAAGAGGAAATGTGAAACAAAGATAAAAGAGGAAATGTGAAGGAAAGATAAAAGAGGAAATATGAAAGAAAGAGAGAAGAGGAAATGGGAAAGAAAGATAAAAGAGGAAATATGAATGAAAGAGTGAAGGGGAAATGAGAAAGAAGTGAGAAGAGGAAATGGGAAACAGCGATAAAAGAGGAAACGTGAAAGAAAGAGTAAATAGAAAATGTGAAAAATGTGAGATGAAATGTGAAGGAAAGAGAGAGGTGGAAATGTGAAAGAAAGAGAGAAGATGAAATGTGAAAGAAAGAGAGAAAAGGAAATGTGAAAGAAGGAGAAAAGAGGAAATGTGAAAGAAAGAGAGAAGATGAAATGTGAAAGAATAGAGAAGAAGAAATGTGAAAAAAGAGAAAAGATGACATGCGAAGGAAAGAGAGAAGAGGAAATCTGAAAGAAAGAGAGAAGAGGAAATGTGAAACAAGAGGGAAGAGGAAATGTGAAAGAAAGATAAAAGTGGAAATGGGAAAGAGAGAAGAGCAAATGGGAAATAAATAGAGAAGAAGAAACGTGAAACAAGAGAGAAGAGGAAATGTGAAAGAAAGAGAAAAGAGGAAATGTGAAAGAAAGAGAATAGAGGAAATGTGAAAGAAAGGGAAAAGAGGAAATCAGAAACAAGAGAAAAGAGGTTAGAGGAAATGGCAAAAAGTAATAAGAGGACAACTAAAATAGAGATGTAATCCGAAAAATTGCCATGAGAAATGTGTTATTGTTTTGGAACCGAGAAGTTAAAAAGAAGAACACAATCTATTTCCATACCTGAAGATGTCTGTAGGAACAGACGAAAGCTTGTAAAAACTAAAAAAAGACCTTATGAAACTAGAATTTATAAACAGGGATTATATCATTCATATACAGGTTCTGGTTTAGTGTAACTTATTGAAATTGTTTGCGAGGATGTATTCTCACCATTTAAATCATTAACATCTATATTTGTTTTTTTGTATGAATGATTAATGTAATTATATATATATATATATATATATATATATATATATATATGTGTGTGTGTGTGTGTGTGTGTGTGTGTGTGTGTGCGTGTGTGTGTGTGTGTGTGCAGATATGTAGAAAAATATGAAAGAACACGTTAGGTAAACAATGCCATCATTCTCTTTGAAATAGATACCACCACCCTACCTCTGCTTGACCTCTTTCCGAAGGTGACTGATACGTGGATAAAAATTAACTCTTAGACCCCTTACCGAGAAGTAAAAAGCAAGAACAAAATCTACTTCCATACCTGAGGATGTCTGTAGGAACAGACGAAAGCTTGTAAAAACTAAAAAAAACCTTATGAAACTGGAATTTATAAACAGGGATCATATCATTCATATACAGATTCGAGTTTAGTGTAACTTATTGAAATTGTTTGCGAAGATGTATTCTCGCCATTTAAATCTTTTAACCTCTATATTTGTTTTTGTATGAATGATTAATGTAATTATATATATATATATATATATATATATATATATATATATATATATATATATATATATATTATACATTTGAACAGCAATCCTCTTTTATAGAAGTTCGTTACAAACGACTGACAAGGTATTATGATTAGACTTTTATTCAATTTCTTTTGCATTCGTACAAGTCTTATCTCATGTGCCGACTTTTTCTATATGGACGAGAGCTTTCGTTTATTCTGTTATCGATTATTAAGTTTGAATATGTGGATATTTACATGTGTGTATCTATAAAATGAATAAAATGATTCGTTTTTATTTTCCAGCTACGGCCGTGTCCATAGATGATATACTTCTGTGTTAGTAATTTTTTTGTTTTTATTATTATTAAAGCTTCGATTATTTTGACTATTTTTACCCATGGATGGTGTTATCATGGTTGTATTTTCGTATGTTGAAGATGAAGTCTGCCAATTTTCGTCTGTTTTAAATGCTTCTTAATTAAGACTTATGCTAAAAACTACATAAAACCAGGTGACCAGAATAAGGAAATTAAATAAATTATTAAAAAAAAAATGTAAAACAGCTAACCACGTCGTCAACAATAAAAATTTACCTGCAAGATCTATTTTACAATAGACCAATATTATTTATAAATTTGTATGACCCTTAAAAATACTGTAACTGCATTCCTTACGATGTCATTTCATAAATAATTTATTGGACATACCACTATATGCTTATCAAGAAAATAAAGGTTATATCTCTGAGACTATAGCTAAATAAGGACACATTTAATGTAAATGCCATGTTGAATAATCACCCTATATCGTCGGCCATGTTTTTTCAGCTGAGTTGCCTCTTTGAGCCTCTGTTCATTTGGTCAACCTTCAGCTTAGCATTGACAGTTTGGTTCTTTTCAAATACTCCATCACCATTTAAAGCAAAAAATATCTCGCAATTCTGTGATTTTGATTTAGAGGAAAAAAGAAGATATCCTGATACCCAAATTTCAATATGAACACACACACACACATATATATATATATATATATATATATATATATATATATATATATATATACAGGGTTTCCATAAAGTTCGTTTGCACTTTAAAAAATATGTAACTTTATTTGTATTTGCGATAGAAATAATCTGTAAAAAGGATAAGAAAGAAGTAAATCTATAAGTTTTAAGGTTTTATTGAAATTTTATTTAAGTTTCCACATGTCCTCCATCATTAGCAATACAAAGGGTAATACGATTTTGCAGTTCACGTAAAACATTTACCAACTGATTTACAGTAATGTCTGAAATCACAGTTATTTTAGCTATACTTAAAAATAGGTACATTAAACTTTATAACATTTTTACAGATTATTTCTATCGCAAATACAAATAAAGTTATACATTTTTTAAAGTGCCAACTAACTTTATGGACAGCCTGTATATACAGACAGATAGATATTATAGATAGATAGATAGATAGATAGATAGATAGATAGATAGATAAGTATATACTGTGATAGATATAATTGAAAAAAATGAGATAGATTGACAGATATATATAAATAAATAAATAAAAATACAATGTTATGATAGACAGATAGATAGATAGATAGATAGATAGATAGATAGATAGATAGATAGATAGATAGATAGATATGGAAACACTATCATAGATAACTAGATAGATAGATAGATAGATAGATAGATAGATAGATAGATATGAACAGCTACATATGAATATACTGTGATATATAGAATTGAAAAAACTGAGATCGATAGATAGATATAACTAAATGAATAAAAATACACTGTCATGGATAGATAGATATAAATAGACTATCATAGATAGATAGATAGATAGACAGATGCTGTAATAGATAGACAGATACAGGTGTTGTTCAGAAATTTCTGAGATTAACCCCAAAGGATTTGAAGAAAGAATACATATTGGTCATGATTTTTCTATAAAAACAACCTTGACATCAAAGCCTCTGGCCTAACGATGCTTAATCATTGCAATCTCATCAAGGAGATGCTGTATTTCTTTTCTTCCAAAAACTCCTGCACAGCACATATGATGTCATCATTGTTTCCAAAATGGCGACCAATCAGGTGAGATTTGAAATTAGAAATCAGGAAGAAGCCAAATGGACCCTAAGTCTAGTAGATAAGGGGGGTGGGATAATAATTCAAAGACACAGTTGGCTTGTTCAGTTACTGCAACCTTAGCTGTGTGAACGAGCGTATTAATCTGAAGCAAGAACAGGCCCAGCCTCAGGTTCGCTCTGCGATTCGGAAGAGGTTCCTTCAGCTGCCTTAATTCGGATTCATAGCACTGTTTATTAATTGTTTTTTTTTTCCTTTTTCCAGACAGTTGATCAAGATTATACCTTCAGAGTAAAAACAAAACAATATAAGCCCGCACCTTACAACAGAAGCCATCACAGGCCACCAGTCGCTGTCTGCTTGAATATCTTCGAGGTGGAGAACCATTGATTTCTACTGTTTCTTTTAAATCTTTGATTAAATTTCGAAGTGGTGAACGCATTTTGAAACTATTTACATTATTCGAACTATTGTCCTCATCTTTGTGTCATATTTATTACAACGTTTCGACGGTTGTACGCTCCGGCCTTCTTCAGATGGTTGGAATTTCGAACTGAACCATTTATTTCGCTCACTGGGGTAGACTGTTTTATTTCCACGTGCCTTGTCTAATGGTTGTCAGTTATCAGTTATCTCCTGTTGATTTCCCTCTGAACGTTTTCCACTGCCTTAGTAGGTATTGAACTCACACTCTTTGCGTCCTGTTTCTGGATCTAACTAACACCTAAATCCACTGTGCCATGTGCCCTTGGTGTAAATAGTGTACATAATACTTCATCTCAGAAATATAGACAGACAATGCAACTTAAGTTAAGAAGCTGCGGTGTAAATTCTCAATGTTAGCCTGGAAACAAGTTGTAGGATTTAGTTGGACAAACAGACCAATACTCAACTATATGAGTCTGCTCATAATAGCTATCTGGAGAGTCTTCTATCGTAAATATGTGGATGGGGTCACGGAGGATCCACTACGCGGCCAGGTCGGCTATTCAGCCGACGAGTTCCGCTCCTTTTGGCCTTAGGCGCCAGCGGCGTATTACCTCAACAACCCTGAGTTTTCGCCTACCTGGTAATTGCTTTAGAATAGGTTATCTATTAATGTCAGGACTTTCATGTGGGGTTTGATGGATTTTCCAGACTCTGAACAGTGTGAACTTGGCTTACAGGAAACAGATTCGAAATACTTTCTACCACTGTCCTCGGGTATGGCCCCTATTGGACTATGTCGGCGAGTTGAAGGTTCGTATCGCTCCCAAAAAGCTCGTGCTGATCGCGCATACGCGTGTGACAATGTGCCGACCTCGTATTTTGTGGTGAATACGAGGAATTCTAAGGCCCTGAGAGTTTGGGGTAAGGCTGCCCGCCTGGTTCATGCTCTCTTGTCCTTCCGCGATCCAGCAGGCACATTTGGTTTGCGACGTCGATGTTCGTGTGCTGTCTAGAGACTTTGTGGTCTATTCAGCATACGGAGACCGGCAGGCCAGAGGTATTTACTTGTTACTCAAGCGTTCACTGGATGCGTGGATGAACCTTGTCCATGCGGGCGCGGAGGGCCGGTTGATCGTGAACGATACGGCCGTGTGTAGTGGTTCGTTTCGCGTCGTTGTGGTTTATGTTCCCAGTGATCATGGGGAACGTGACGAATTTTCCATCTGTTGGGACGGTTCCTAGTGGATTCGTCGTACTTAGTATTAATGGGGAAATGGTATGCCAAAGTATACAAGGGGCGGGTAGCTAGCGGAATGTCATCGGGCTATCTGGTTAATTTGATCGGTGATTTTGTCCTTGTCCATAGATACCAAGTCGATCATCCGAGGCAAGAGTTGCGAACGTGTACACAGTTGGTCGTCTCTCCAAGTCGCCATTTACCTGGACAGAATGTTAGCGAGAAGAGTCTATTAGGGTTTTACTAGATTGTCCCATGTTTCAGCGGTTAGACTATTCGAGTCATGGACTTTTCTATGCCGAGATTTCGTTAGGTACTATGTCTAGAATGGCTGGATACTGGAAGTTAAATCTGTCCTTACTTGACAGGCAGGACTTTCATTAACAGATGGCTAGATTAGTTTCAGCTGGTGATCAGAACAGACCAGATCAGATCAGAACATATTTGCATATAATGATATAGAGAAAGGAAAAACTGTGATAGATAGATAGATAGATAGATAGATAGATAGATAGATAGATAGATAGAAAATAACAAGCTGAGCTAGCTAGACAGACAGACAGATCGATCGATCGATAGATAGATAGATAATGAACAGACTGAGATAGATAGATAGATAGATAGATAGATAACACACTGAGATAGATAGATAGATAGATAGATAGATAGATAGATAGATAGATAACAGGCTGAGCTAGATAGCTAGATAGTAGACAGATAGATAGATAGATAGATAGATAGATAGATAACAGGCTGAGCTAGATAGCTAGATAGTAGACAGACAGATATATAGATAGATAGATAGAAAGAAAGAAAGAAAGAAAGAAAATAAACAGATTAGATAGATAGATAGATAGATAGATAGATAGATAGGAAATAGGCTGTTTATTGTGAATAAGTGGAAGGAGAGACTTCGGGATAAAATTAGGCCCTTCACCACTGAATAAAGATAATGAATCTCTCTAGATAAGGCAAAAAAACGTGAAGACTGTAGAAGATAGTCTGTCCTAGGTGGTTGTTGGCGTTGATTCTCTAGAGCTAGCGTTGACTAGGCAGACTCTGCTGCGTGAGGCTAGCAAGCGCTACCAGGATCGGTCAGTTAGACAGGTTAAGCAAGATGTCTAACGAAGTTGTGAACATGGGCGGAAACATTCCGCAAGAGGACCTTCGATGTTTTGATCGTTACATTCGCGAGGTCAAAAATCCCGGTGGGGCGTACTCTAAGGTCGACCGGTTTATGTGCGGCATTCGAGAGGCGTTTTACCAAGCAGTCTGGTTTCTGTGGCGATGGTCTTTTCAGCTATTTGGCTGACTATCCCGACTTCAGGGCGAAAGTCACTTGACGTTGAAGAGGATCGGCAGTGGCAAGTCTCCGATACTTGATGGTCTGCTCTGTGAATTGTACCTGTGGCTGTCGCACATCTTTGTTCCGATTTTGTCTGGTCCCGGCAGGGGCCATTCCCGAGCCGATTTGATCACGATGTTGAAGAGGATAGATAAATAGACAGATGGATATGAAGAGACTGAGATAGATAATGTTATGGTAATTTACCCACGCACGCATGGACTCTCCCAGGTATAAATAGGAGCAGGAACTGCCTTTTGGAGAGGGAAATTCCCAGCAATCAGCTCTGACAGTCGGACCGAAAATTCTTGCTATATCACTCGTTTGTATTTGTATTCCTGTTTCTGCTAATATATTTGCTTAACTCAATTCCTCTCTTGTCTTTTTATTTCTGGCCCTAACAAGGCCACAACAAATAGATATATAGATAGATATGAAGAGTCATAGATATATAGATAGATAGATAAATATTAAGAGACTGTGATAGATAGATAACAGACTGTGATAGATAGATAGATAGATAGATAGATATAGAAATATTAAGAGACCGTGATAGATAGATAGATAGATAGATAGATAAATGATAACAGACTGTGATAGATAGATAGATAGATAGATAGATAGATAGATAGATATTAAGAGACCGTGATAGATAGATAGATAGATAGATAGATAGATAGATAGATAATAACAGACTGTGACAGACAGATAGATAGAGAAATATTAAGAGACAGTGATAGATAGATAGATAGATAGATAGATAGATAGATAGATAGATAGATATAGAAATATTAAGAGACCGTGATTGATAGATAGATAGATAGATAGATAGATAAATGATAACAGACTGTGATAGATAGATAGATAGATAGATAGATAGATAGATAGATAGATAGATATTAAGAGACCGTGATAGATAGATAGATAGATAGATAGATAGATAGATAATAACAGACTGTGATAGACAGATAGATAGAGAAATATTAAGAGACAGTGATAGATAGATAGATAGATAGATAGATAGATAATAATAGACTGTGATAGATAGATAGATAGATAGATAGATAGATAGATAGATAGATAGATAATTAGATAGGTGGATCTGAGCAGATTAGCATATAGTGATATACAGATACGCTTAGACATACATGAATAGATTTAATTTTATGAGGTTGTTGCATAAAAATTATTATATTACATAATTTATTTTAATACTTATTATTATTATTAATATTTCTGATGAACCTTTTTAACTATGATTTTCCCTTCAGTGTTTACGATTTCCTGCCAGAGATCCACGAACTGTTCAATGCCTAAACGATATAATATTTTACTAGGTTTTGACTAGAGAAATTCATCAAGTCACGTTTTAAGTTCCATGTCGTTGTTGAAGGAGATATTCCTGAAATTCTTAATAAGCAATCGAAAAAGTGGTAGCCTGGAGAGGCTAAATCACGAGGTTATAGTGGGTGTGGTGAACTTCCCAACCGAGCTCTTTAATTGCATATTTAGTTATTTCAGCCTCGTGGTTCGGGGGGGGGGTGCATCGTTGTCATGTTGAATAATCGCCGTATATCGTCAGCCATGTCTTTTTAGCTGAATTGCCTTTCTGAGCCTCTTCATTTGTTCAGCCTACGGCTTATCATTGACCGTTTGGTTCTTTTCAAATATTCCATCTCCGTACACAGCACAAATGTCTCGAGAGGCTTTGGCAACTCTGTGATCTTGATTTAAAAGAAAGAGAAGAAGATATCCTGATACCCAAGTTTAGATTTGAGCATATATATATATATATATATATATATATATATATATATATATATATATATATATATATATATGAAAAAATCCAGGTAGCTACATATAAATATTCTGTGATAGATAGGTAGATAGCTAGATAAATATGAAAACGAGATAATGAATAGACTGAGATAGATAGATAGATAGATAGATAGATAGATAGATAGATAGATAGATAGAAAATAACTCACTGAGATAGATAGATAACAGGTTGAACTAGATAGATAGATAGATAGATAGATAGATAGATAGATAGATAGAAAACGAACAGACTTAGATAGATAGATAGATATATAGATAGATAGAGATAGGAAATAGGCTAGATAGATAGATAGATAGATAGATAGATAGATAGATAGATAGATAGATAGATAGATAGATAGATAGATAGATAGATAGATAGATAGATAGATAGATAGATAGATAGATAGATAGATAATAGGCTGAGATAGATAGATATTAGTGATAGTGTAACATGAGACCTACGTACACATAACGCTTTAATAAATTTTCTAATAAATTACATTGTATCATCAACTAAATCGCAGAGAATATCCGTGGACTGATAAAAGTGATATTATGTCACACGATGACTGTATATAATTGTAAATTTGATCATGATATCAGCATACGCAAAACATAATATATCTACACAATTATTTTTTGATATTTCTATTCGTATTTCTACTATGTTAGACGATTTCCTCAAAGATTAAGAAGAGACTCAATTCAACGGAAGTATGGTTCTACAGAAGGATGCTAAGGATATCATGGACCGAACATATGAGAAACTATATAGTTTTGGGGAGGATGCAAACAAAGGGGAAGCTTAGACTTAACATCAGGAAGAGGCAGCTGAACTTTATGGTACACGTAATGAAAAAGGAAAGCTTAGAGAATCTGATACTCACAGGGAGGAGAGAGGGAAAGAGAGACAAGGGAAAGCAAAGCGTGACAGACTTGACGGGCTTAAGCAAGTGGATAACAGAACAGGGTCTGTGAGAAGTAGCAAGATCAAATCACACTGGGAACAACAAGGGATAGGATGAAGTGGAGAGCCATGATTGCCTGTATCCTGAAAAGACAAGGCACATAAAAGAAGATATTCGAACTGTTTTTTTTTTTTAATCTTAGTTGTTTTTATTACAACGTATCCGCCATTCTGTCCTCCGGCCTTCCTCAGGTGAATATCGATCTAGGTAAAACAGGTAAATACAAATTGAACCCTTTATTTAATCTAAGACGCCAGACTGTTCTCGTTCCATTGTTCACTGCTTAGGACATCATATAGTTTTTTATTTCATTCAGCATCGCTCAGTTATTGCTCGTCCGTTTCCACTAAAAAACACTACACACTGTTCAACCCAGGGATTGAACTCACAAACACCATATCAGCAAATTTTCAAACCAACACTTTTACTTATTTTACTTTCATTTTCTCGTGGGACAGTGGATTTTTTAGAACAATTGTTGAAGTAATCTTTAAGCGTAAAATAGACTGCTGATTAGGTTGCCACTATCACTGCTGCTGTTAGCTGTCATTTTTTACTGTAGCTGCTTCCCATTTTTATTAATGTCGCTTATAAAGAAAGAAAGAGAAATGACAGCAAATCCTCAACAGCAGCAGCATTATTAAATAAAACAAGGGCAACACGGCCGAAACACTCTAATAAAAACAACAAAGATGAATATAAATAATGTAAATAGGGATTACTCTTCATCCAAAAAATTCAGACAAAAATTTCTGATGGTCATCGAATAATTGCCAAAAAATACAATAAAATGTTCTAGTTACCTGATATTTTAGTAAATTATTTAACAAATCATTTAATAAATTACGTATTTTATATGACCTCAAAAATGGCAAACAATCTGTTGTTAACTGGCGCAAACAATGGTTCACTGTTAATGCTCTATATTTATACGTTTACAATTCGTCCTTGCTTTATTACTGCTACATCTGATCTGGTGCCCCTGTTATATATTTTGAGATTCTTGATAATCCAACGAATCGGCAATGTTATTGCTGCTAACTTTGTATCACGGATTCAGTCTCTTTGCAATCGCCGTAATATAGCTTCCCTATTGCCTTCCTATAAATGCTTTCACACTAATTGACGCTGTCCTTTATGAAATTAAGCGCAGTACTAGATTGGTAGTAAGGTCTCGTCATTTTACAGTTGGAATGGCTACATGTAACCGTAAGTCCTATGCTAACAATTTCTTCTATTACACCACTAGACGTAACCGTAAGTTATGAACTATCAGTTTCTTCTATCCTAATTCTTGCTTGTAGAAGTCACTCTCGGCTTCTTTCGTTCCAGTCAACGTTTATCATCAAAATTTAAATTCAGAGTCAGTTTGTATCTTCTGCCCTCTTAATTCTTGTTCTTTTATTGTCCTCTATCATTAACAGTAGTTTTTCTCATATTCTCTAACACTCAATAACCCTTGCATCCTAGTGGCTTTATTGCCTTTGATCTTTAAACATTTAAATGCAATGTCAATCGTTATATCCTGTCTTCTTAATTCCAGTACTTTTATTGTCCTCTCTCATTAATAGTAGTTTTTCTCATATTCTCTAACACCCAGTAACCCCTTGCATCCTAGTGGCTTTATTGCCTTTGATCTTCAAAAATTTAAATGCAATGTCAATCGTTATCTTCTGTCTTCTTAATTCCAGTTCTTTTATTGTCCTCTCTCATTAATAGTAGTTTTTCTCATATTCTCTAACATTCAGTAACCCCTTGCATCCTAGTGGCTTTATTGCCTTTGATCTTCAAAAATTTAAATGCAATGTCAATCGTTATCTTCTGTCTTCTTAATTCCAGTTCTTTTATTGTCCTCTCTCATTAATAGTAGTTTTTCTCATATTCTCTAACACCCAGTAACCCCTTGCATCCTAGTGGCTTTATTGCCTTTGATCTTCAAAAATTTAAATGCAATATCTGTCTTTAACTTGGGGCGGTATAGGTTTCAAGGGCTAAAAATTATATCATTAGTTACCATTAGATTACGTACATAAGCATTTTCTTGGATCGATTTGTTGCATTAAATAAATCCAAACAAGTCAATAAAGCAATTGGATGCAAGGTGTTACTGGGAACGAGAATGAATAACGAATCCTTTACTGAGGATTCGTTCGTTTTTTACGGCTTATAAACCCTTTTCAGACTATCAGAACCAAGAAGATATTTTTAGATTGTAGGTTTGTTTTTTTTTTCCTTTTTGGAATTAGTAAGGGTCTAGTGGGACAAATCTTATTATTTAATCCATACCTAAGGGGAGAAGAGGCGTATACATAAATGGGTATTTTCGTGTGAGTTAATATAACGAAGTTAACTGGAACTGAAACTCGAGCCTCCGATTAAGAATTCTAAGTTATTATCGATGACACCACCCACACACCCAAGCTTACAGCACCTGATATTCCCAAGCGCTCTTTAGTAAGGAAAAAGGACAGTAAAACAAGAGTGTTCAGGAAGACACAAGATAACAATGGGCGTTGCTTTTCAATTTTTCACTGTTAGATAGCAGGGAATCAAGAAATTGGAAAGTAATTCAACAGGCGAGATGTGCGAGAAACGGAAATATTAGAACAGAACATACTACCTCGTTGCCAAACTATTTGCACGCTTAAATTCATATTCCAAGTAAGATTGGTAGGTTGATCGCCGGATGATACCAGAATAAAAGCATCAGCAATGCTATGCTTAACACGGGAATGGCAAAAGGCCATTAGGTCGTTGCTCTCTGTGTTACAGTTAGAAGCTGAAAGATAAAATCGGACGCTTTTGCATCGATATGGGAAAACGTTATTGAAATTCGTAAAGAATTGACGACTATTCGTTTCATGAGATCTTTTGAAGTCTTTTGAAGAGAAGGTACATTAGCAGAGGTGCTGACTTAACTTTCCGATGGCAGATTACATAACTTGAATCCGTTGCAAGTAGTCAGGCTGGGTTCACGCATCATTGAAAATAATCCAATTTTACCCTTCAAAGTCTGTAAAGACATTAAATGAAAATATAAATTTATCGAAATGCCTTTATCGACAAGAAAATGATATATATATGAATAAAAATATACGGAAAAAACAAACAAAAATCCTAATATGCAATTATGCTGTTTTAATGTTAATATAATTTCAACGTCGGACGTTTCGGTCTAGTAGACCATCTTCAAGACATATTCATAAAACATAATTAACATTAGACTATATTCAATTCAACATGAAAAGACGATAGGTCAAGGTCTGGTCACTCCTCCTCCCCCAATATAAAGTATACTTGAGACAGATATGAAAATAACCCTTCCCTATACTCTACCATGTCTCTTTAACTATCCCTTTTACACTCTCTGTTAAATTACAAAATCTTACACTACCCATCAATTTTAATTTCATTTTTCGTTTCATTTTTGGAAGTGCTATCTGATGATCCGGCGTCCTTTAAAAGGACTCTGGTGAAATAAATTATTATAATGGCACCTTAAAGTGGTCTATTTTTCTTTAATATATATATATATATATATATATATATATAAGTAATTATATTCGTCCGGAAAAACCTTAAGTGTATTGGCTTGTCAATGAACAAACCAATACCCAAGGAAAAATAAGGAATAAAAAACAGAAAGAACTAAGAACATGTAACTGAGGCGAAAACAATCGTCCAGAATCCAAGTTCAGAGTCCAAAGAAAAAAAAAAAACTCCAACACGAGCATAACAAAAATAACTAAACAAAGTGTTCAATACACTAAGTAGGGCAAATTTAACTATGAACCTAAAGAGCCAGGCAAACCTACCTAGGTTACTCCACTACGTGGATCGTCAGGCCAGCGTAACCCTGACGATTCGCGTAGGTGAACCATAGTTATATATATATATATATATATATATATATATATATATATATATATATATATTCTGAGTTGAGCACTTTTGCAGATTTTGTTTTCGTTTGAACACATATTCACAGAATTAAATTCTGCTATTATAGTTTCTTAAAAGAAAAGAAAAAAACACTATCTTTCATCAACATAACATCAACACAATTTAACTAATCCTCCATGATTACAAAAACAAACTCACAGAAAAAAATTCGACACTTCAAAAACTCAGAAGATGGAAAGTATTCTATTTCGTCCAGAAAGACAGCGAGAATGTTGACAACAGCAACAACAACGACAGCAACACCAATAATACCAATAATACCAATAATACCAATAATATTAATAAATTTAGATTCACATCAATGAATTGAACCACCAAAGCGAAGTGACTTTAAAAATAAAAAATAATTTTCAAAAAGACTTGAAAAAAAATAAAGAAATGAAAAATAACTAAAGAAATATTTATAAAAGCAGATAAATCCAAGATAATCTATAAAATGGAAATTCAACAATTACAATAAACTAGTTGACAAAGAAATTACTAAATGTAACAAACCACTAATAACGAAACAGAAAAAAGCTAAAAAC